ATGAAAGAGAACAACATCCTCCTTGATAGTCCAAATTTTAAACTTACATTCAAAAAAGACAACAAGCAGCTAGCAAGGACTTGAAGGAAATGTAGTGCTTTGGGGTGTCCTAAAAGGGACAGTTTTCTTTCTTAGATCAACCTGTACAATCTCATTACCTGATCACAGAAAGGTAAATTTCTGTACCCTGAACTGCACAGACTTGCAAGATATCGAAGGGGGTGAAGCATTCATAGTCAGGATTTACATTTAGACATGACAAGTAGTTCAGAGAGTGCTCGAGGAAGGAGAAGCACCTTTCAAAGCGTGACACCCAAGCCCACAGACAGGAGAAGATAACTGGTACTGCCTAAGTATAACGCGAATTTCAGGCTGTTTGTTCCCTTACCTTTGCACTACAGTACACAGCTCAAAGCACTGACAGAAACTTCACACAAACACAGAAACAAAAAATCCTCTCACCTGATTAAGTACACACAGGTTTTCCTCTACTTTTGTCAAATGCTCTTTGTTAATTTCTTAAAAGACAGATGGTGCTGCTTTGGATACAATGGCTTCCCCTTCCTTTCTGATTTTGCTAAAACCTATACAAACTCCATTTATCTCTACAGTAAGACTGGTGTGATAATAGTTGTCCATAACTATCCACTTCCAGCTTCCCTAGCAAGCAGGGAGCACTAATGATATTGCCTTGTCACTGGAATAGGGACATATGTTAAAATTTACTACAGTTCAAATAAGCAAAAATCAAAAATGTTTTGATCCTTTTAACTGAATGATAGTGTTTTGAAGTTTATCCACTAATTTACCTTCCACCAGTTTCCTCCATACTTCCATTCATGCTTAGAGGCTTTAATAACATTTGCAAACTGTCTGTTGGGCTAGTTATGCTGCAACCATTTGATTACTTAAGATTGAGTTTTCAACATGGAAAGTAGAATAAAACAGGACTAGAATTACTCTTCCACAAATCCTCTCAGGAGTTCACAAACACTTCCTTGCCCTCTCTACTTCAGCTTCCTTGTTATTTTTCAGTTTCATAAGCTAGTTAGATGGAGTCAGAAATACACACAAAACTGTAAGAGCTGTCTTGGCAGCCTTCATTAAATTCCCATCATGAGCACTTTCACATCCCAGAGCAAGCAAGCAAGAAAGCAAGCAAGCCAAGGTGTTTTGTAAGAGCAACCCACAAGTCTTAACAAACGCATTTAGGAAGTTAACTGAAGCTTTCACCATTTATGCTGCAGCATCTTGCAAGGGTCTAAAAACCTCACCTCCTGATTCAAGCAACAAAAAGCAGCTTTTCACACAAAGCTGTTGTCAAGCAGACCCTGTACAATACGGTGTTTAAAATGTACACAAGCAGTGAAATAGAATTATGTTTCATCAGTTACTCTGACAAATTTGCAGTAGAAGTCTGGAAGTCTAGGGCAATGTGAGAGTTTTTTCTACTAACCTTACTTTAAGTCTTTTCTAGTATGGATCATAGATCTGTTCTATACTGATACTGTTCGCAAAGTCAACCATCAGAAACTCCTATCTTCTCTAGTTTTAAAAGACAGAGTAAAAAGAAGCAAAGCAAGAATTAAAACAATTGCTTGCTTCATACAGGACAATCCAACTTCAACCAAAATACAGAACATCACAAACAAAATGTTTACATTTTGTTACTGGTGGTGAATGAGTGCTTTGCTTGCCCTGGTTGCCTGTAAAAATATTCTATCACTACAATTTGGAAAGATAACTGAGTGAAATTAACATATCCCAACTTGGTCTCTTACCTTAGATATACCAAAAGAATAGGGAAAAGTAAAAAAAAAAATTGTTTTTACACAACTCTTCAAGAGATCTTAAAAAGAGATTGATCAGTACTGCCAAAGAACTAGAAGCTCCCAGAGGACCTGGTACTCCCTAACATATAAAGTGGACGTTTTTTTTCTGCTCTGTCTGGTAATGAAAGAAAGACAATGGGGAATGTGAGCTCTGTGGTAGGCTGAGCAGCTGCTCAGCATGAGCAGTGCTCCCAGGTATGGGCAGCTCTGAGGCAGCATAGCTCAGACACAACTGCCTGCTTCACATTTCTTTCTGGGGACTCTTATCACTGTCAGTTCCACATTCCAACCATGCTTGAGCTCTTGAAATGCAGAACTCAGCAAGGACACAGTCTAAGAAGTGGGCAGATGATGCCCATGCAAAAGATGGGACCAACTGGCATTTAAAAACACGAGGTGTAAAACGGTATTTACGGAAGCTACAGATGCCTGCTGAGAACCCCAGTGAGATGAAAATTTCATCCCTTACATAAAGACATTTCCTATGGCACAGACAGTGCTGACTGGGTATATACACATTTCTTTTTCTGATTTTAAGTGGAACATTTTTTCCATATACATGGTTGCATGTAAAATACCACTGGTGCCACTCTGACTGCTCCAGTTACTGAGTGGCTATTTGGGGTTTTTTTCCAAACTGCTTGCTAAAGAAGGGTGGGAAGCTATTTAACGACAGGCTATCCGAGGTGATCACATTGGTTTCTCAGAAGGTAACACAAAAATGAAGCACAGACTTTCATGTATTTCTGCTTGATGTAACTCAGGAAGTTACTTCTTATGAATACAAAATAGTTATTAATTTTGGAGAGGACTTTTAAATCTTGTTTTATAAATATTTTCCATGTCAATCTGGATATTTCACTGCTTCCCACTTCCATACTAACACTGTTTATTAAACTACAGCACACTGTCTTTATGCAGTTTGGATTAATTTTGCCATCACTAAATTCAATTGCAAATGATTCAAGGAGTTCTCAGGTAGCTGGCTTGATCCTTTCATTCACAGATTGCAAGACACACATTTTTAAACGTATTCTGCTGACCAATAATGATCAAAAAAAAAAACCCTTCTTGTCACCTTTGCCCTGCTTTTTTCATGTTCAAACACAACAGGTTGTTTATATGAATTCTCAGCATATGCTGCAGGCTTTTCAGAGCAGGTAATATTTTCTTATTAGTCTAGTTATTGCATATCTACACATATCTAATCTCAGGTCAATTCAATAATACTGATAATGATAAAGGGAGAGACTGTTTCTGGGACTTTGGATTACATATAAATCCAGACCGTGAAGCTGAGGTGTGAATGCACCGTTTGGAGAAGTTTGAGGTCCACTGAAGGGACAAGTAAAAGTCACTCCTTTCTAATGAAATATTAAAGAGTTATTTGTAGCTCACAGGGACATTTCACCATTACCACACATACCATGACTGTAATTAATTTTTGAAGGAGTGTACCTGAACCGTAAACTCATTTTACTGATTTTTCTAACCATCACCGGTAAAATTTACAAAATATATGAGGTTGCTGTCTTTTCATAATTTCATATAGTCATTTCCACAAAATTATATCCTTATGAAAATATGATCTACATGGACAATTCTGCAACAAGAACTACTCAGGTCAAATTTACTGATTAGGTAAGTGCTTTATTTTTGTGAGAAGAGTTGTATCTTAAGATATTAAAAAACTAACAGCATCCTGGAAGGTAATTTAACACTACCACACAAAACAGAACTTTGTGCATTCTTCCTCAGGGTAGAGTTTACTTTGTAGATTCTCCAATAATGTTAAAATATTTAATGCACATCTGGAACAACCTAACAAATATTCAGCTTTAAAGAACTAACAACAGACAATTCTCATTGTTTCTCTCAATTAGCTTCCATCTATTTCAGCCCTGTGAATGCAATTCGGAAAGCCTCAAACACAAGTAAAATTTACACTGAACTTCTGTTCAGTCACAGAAAGCTTTTTCTAGCCTTCAGCCAAAACTGCAGTTCTGTCCTGCTGACTTTGCATTGTTATTCAGAGTATATCACAATGACTGTCCTCTTCTTATGCTACCCCAAAAAGCAGAGACTGTATCGTATCAGAAGGAGGTGAAAGCAAGGTTACCATCCCAGCAAGCTGAGCTGCACCAACTACATTCCTGTTGTGCTCAAATTTCATTTGTTCCAGGAAATCTACTCTAAACGGAACACAGGAACACAAAATATAAAGTAGATATCTCTGAAAAGATCACTTGCCAAGAGCATATAAGGATTATCAAAATATACATCCATGTGGTACTATGCCGTAAGCACAGTTGAGAGGAAGTACATGAGGTTAACAGAAGATTAGTCACCACATTCTCCACAGACCCTCATCTACGCATCTTTAAAACAAAAGCTCATCTCCTTCAGTACACAACAAATCATCTTCTAGTTCTCCCAACAAGACAGTGGTTTTTTTTAAATTTCTCTTTTTTTTTAATACCAGTTCACTCACATCAGTAGTCACAGACTGATGATATCAGTAAAGTACTATGGTAACGGAGTTGTTGCAGGTACCTCTGTGTTACACATACCTCCATCTGGCTGTAAAATAAATAAATGAATAAACAAAGGGCTGAGATTTCCCTTTTCCACAGGGACACGAGTACTCGCCACTCTCTCCAGATGCTACTCCCCAAGAAGCACAAGAAAATGTATCTGTCAGAATCTGACAGGATCTACTGCAAATGCACCTTCCACTCTTATTGTTTCCTCTTGAATCACCTTAACGGGACATTGTAGTATTGTCTGAAGTGCCTCTCACATACAGCATAGATTCTCATCAAACTGTTATAATCAAACTTATAGCAGAATAAATTTCATTTCCTGTCTTCTTCCTACCTACATTGACTTGAGAAATATTTTATTCCAGGAAGTGTCTCAGGGGGATTTGAGCAGAAGGTACAAAAATGGGATTTGTCATAAGAAAAAAAGAGAAAAAATATTTATCATCCAAAACTCTACACTCTGTCTACATTTACCTCTGCCCTTATTTACCCAATGAATAAACAAAATATTAAATGTGATGGCATTTAATGTAGCTATTTTGACTGCTCCCAGAACAACCACCTATAGTATCAGCTCACACAACCCACAACAGTTCTGGAAGGTATAAACAAAACCCCTCCTTACCTTTCATTCCAAACTTGGAGTGTCTTCCAAACTTCAGAATAATGAGTGTTATTACTAAGCCAGTGCACACCAATGCTGCAATTCCCACTACAACATATACCTAAAAAAGGACACAAACAGGCCTGATTGTTTTGCACTTGTAAACTACCTTCAAAAATATCCAGCACACATTCAGATTAATCCAGTTAGGAAAAGAGATTCATTTCAACTGGGAACTCAGATCAAATAGTAAAGAAAATAGACACTTGTTGAGGTTTCTTCTATTCTGCAGGGAGCAGAGATTCAGACACTTATGAGAACACCTTTTTCAACATCCTACACATTCAAGGCAGGTGGGAAGGAGTGTAGAGCACCCCTTTCCCTTCCAGCAGAGCGGCATGTTTCAAGAAAAGTGGTATGTTACACGTAAGAAAAGTATATAGGGAAAAAAATTTACAGTGAAGATGGTTGAATATCAGTACAAATTACCTGGAGTGGCTGGGAAGCCTCCATCACTGGAGACATCAAAACCAGAGAGGACATACCCATGAGGATCCATGCTGGCCCAGCTCTAATCAAGGCTTTGACCAGTGGATTTCCACAGGTCCCTCCCTTCTCATCTCAGCAGTTCAACGACTCCAGTATCAGATGAAAAAAGACTGCTTGGATCCTCCCAGTTTTTAGCACAGTGTCCCAGCTCACAGTCTGCTCTCTGGTTCATGAATGCACACGCCCCACTGCTTGCTGCTTTACAGAGTCACTGGTGGAGGGAGGCTGCAATGTCAACCAATCCAGTAACCCACTATCAGTTTCCAGCATTTCAGTTCAGGAAAGCATGAGAGGCAAGGCAGCCCATACCAATTCAGCCACTTTTACTAAATTCAGCCACTATTACATTAAAACAAAAACCTACATGAAACCATGTTTTAAAGACATACAATTAGATTTTGAAAGTTTGTCACAGCACATCCTTTCTCTAAGGAGGAGCTGACTCCAGGACTGGTATTCAAACAACAATCTTCAAATTACCTTGCATGTCTTTCTTTTGTAAATGAAGAGTTGCTCTCCTTAACTAAAAGTTAAATGTAAGGTCATAGGCTAAAAAATTACAGTGAAGTTGTTCATTAAAGTAAGACATAAAATAACAGTTTTACTTCAACTGAAAATTGATTCACTCTTTCAAAGAAATGGGCGTAGGACAAGAGTGGGGAGCACTGATTTTCTTTTTTTTTTTTCTTTCTTTTTTTTTCCTGAGTTTTGATCACAACACACTAATAGTTATAGTGTTCTGGTAGGTCAGGGTCCTATTATAGTGTCTGCAGCTTTGTGAGTTCTATAGCCAGAAAGTTCACAAAAATCACAGATCAGGAAACAACACATATACTTACAGTGATGCTATCTTCATTCTCTTTGTTGGAAACATCCGTAGAAGTGATTTGATTACTGTTATTTGTGGCATCTCCAAGATCATTAGGTGTGGTTTCATACTCTTAAGAAAGGAAAAAGGGTTGCTTTTATAATTTTGTCACTTTGGAGGGGAAATGGTTTTCGTAATTTCTGCTCTGTAAGATGGTAAAGGTCACTACCAACTTTGGGACTTCAAGCTCTTTGGAAACAACCCGTAATTGCTCATGAAGCTGGAATGTTTTGGGGGGAACCACTGTGGCACATAATCAAACAAATGTGCTGTGACTGACAAACATGAAAAGAGAAGCAATCTACATCATAATGTGTATCCCTACTGGAAACAGCAGAGTTAAATGAGAACTCCATTCAGAGAGCTATTTTAATGTGCTTCTGACTTCCCATTAAAAACAAAAGACTGCCCTCTACACTAAACTTCACCAGCCTTGCGTTGAGTCAAATATAGGACAATTTTAGGAATTAGCTTAGGCACTTTCGTTTAGCCGATGAACTTGGCAGAGGGGTTTCTAGCTAGTTGTATCATTATCAAATGGGAAATAGCTGGTTTTATTTCTTTAATAAATAATAAAATACCCCTGTTGCGTGCACAGGGGTTACCATTTAGCATTGCTGTCATACAGGTAATCCTTAAAAAATTTAAGTGCCTGAACCGGTATGAAGGAATTTATTGATTTATCAAAATAATTCCACTGACAGGGCTGCAGGGGTCAATACAGAACTATTCCATATAAAGAACGAACATGGCTTAATTATTTAGAATAATTTTTAAATGAAACACAGATATTTACAGTCCATGACTTCCTGACAAAATTATTCAAATGAGATAAAACCAGTTAAATAGTAATATATGTTAAGAAAAACACACATTAAAATAAAATTTAAAAATGTACATATTTTGTATTTACTTTTGGAAACACACATAACATTTCAACTTCATGATTATAATGTGTGCAGATGAAAGAAACAAAGGCTAATAACTGCACCTATTACAAAATGCACCTCCAGCATTGTAATCAAAGTTTGCAATTCGCTGGGTATTTCTTTACATGTTTTGATTAAAATCAGTGCCATAAGCCTGCAGATGAAATTTTAACTGCAAAATTGAAAAATCAGAGCACAGAGGCACAGCTCTTGCTAATTACAGGGGCAGGAGCTCTTCAGATCACAGAGCTGCTGCTGAGCAGAGGGAAGGCTTGCACCTCAGCAGAGGTATTCTCCTTTAGCTCCGAATGCCAGTTTGGAGAGCTCAGCTGGCAGTGCTAGTAAGAAGCTGACTGGGCTTTTGATCTTCAAGAACATATTTGCTTTCTGCAAGGCACTAGAGGCTGCAGATTTTTTTGGTAGACGAAGCTATCAGCTACCTCTAGGACTAGTGCTATAGTCAGCAGATTCAGGATGTCTATTTTGGCTCTAAACTATGCATGCCAAAGGACAGGACTCTTTCAAGACAAAATACGTATTAAGTATACAGAACTTTCATGAGAAAAAAAATAAGTTCTTGGGCTTTTACCATTTGAATTCTACAACTCTGTACTGCATCTCTATGGGTGTAGCTTACCATGCGTCACAGAAGTACGAACAGCACTTCTTGCCCATCTAGGTAGCATAATCCCTGCCTTAACAGCTTGGCTGCACAAGCAGCCTGAACTCTTGGACAAAGTGCTGTCCACACTATCTGCCACCATAAGTACACACTTTGCCACAGGAGAGGAGGAGACTTCAGCTTCATTCATTTGCAGGCAAAGCCTGCTTTATGTAACAAATACCTAGGCCCAAAAGGTTGGGCTTCCTTTAAAATTACCTGCAAACATTTTCACAAATATAGTTTTGGCCAACCCTATATTTATTGTAAGTTTATAAGATATAAACCTACATAAAATCAACATATAAAACAAACTTTTAGAGCCTTCACTGCTCTGACTTTGTAAAAAAAACTTTGAAGAAGGAAATTTTTTGCTCTTAATTTCACCTGTAAGTAGCAGTAGGTAAAAGATGATGGTATTTGTAGTTCTGTTTGTGCTCTGTACTAAGCTACTGGAAATCACACTCTGAAGGACTAGTGAGAACCAGTGGGTTTCAGAGTGTTTCAGACCTGGTCTGTGAATCCCCTGAATGGACTTTTGTATTAAAATGGGCAAGACCTAAAGTAGGCCGTATCAGTACACTGGTGTTTTGCTGACGTTCCCTGTTAATTGTGAATCACAGGCATTTGAGGTGCATAGAGCCAGATCTTCAAAGCCTCTTGAAATGGGTGAGTCAGTCAAGGAAAACACACACAATAGCCATCTAGCCCAAACCGGATGATTCCGAGTTAAACAAATTCCTCTTCATTTCACTATGAAATCCTGACATAAACACTGAGCACTTTACAGACAGGGTCACGCCTCTTGACTCATGCTAGGTAGGACTCATACTGCTGTAGGGCCAGGTTCTCCTGTGCCGCGTACCTCATGCAGCCACTAGTAACTACAAAAACTGCAGTGAATTTCAGCTGAGGCTGGGACATATTTTGCAGCAATTTCACAAAAAAGGTGCATGGTGGTTGGGACAGATAGAACAGCACAGTCACATCAGCACTGGGGGGTGGGAGGGAGTTTGGGGGGTGTCACTCTGCACAGTCATTCTAGGGGTTTGGCTGACATGGGGCAGGTTGTCTCTTTCATGTTCACAACCACATTAGAAGAAGCATTGTAGCATGAAAATGGGAACTCGGAGCCAAAGGAGCTGGCTTTGCACTTAAATTTCTTGCTCATACCCAAGTGAGTTGCTTTATTTCTCTCAGGTACTTCCCAGATGGTGTCAGGACAGCTTTCCCTCTTCACCTTTTCCAAGAGGTGCCAGAGAGGTGAGCTAGAGGCACCAGTGACTGCTCCATGCACTGCAGGCACTGCCCCATGCAGTCGGGACTCCCAGGGGCAAACACAATGTCATGCAGCCTGATGCAGCCTCATCTGTTCTTCTGTTTTCTGTTGCATGTTCAAAACACTTAACAGAAAACATTTGGAAATCACCTCACTTCACAAGGAGAGCTTTTTCAAACAGCAGAAAGAACAGCCAAGAATAAAAAGGAAGGCTGCCTTCACCAGGACTGGGTCTTGCAGGCTGTGATCCACCAGCAAAACTTGAAGAATAACATATTAGCAGAAATCTACCCAAGTCAATAGAAGCACACAGCACTCACATGACTAAAGCCATACACAGGCATCAGGGCCTTCATAAACAACTCAGAATCAAAATCTTCACCTATACAGTACAACACATGAAGAAACTGCGCAAACCATCACCACTTTCCTATATCCAACCCTCCCACCCACCCACTCAAAAAAAAAAAAAAAAAAAAAAATTTGGAAAGAGAGGGAGGGGAAGCTATCCTTTGGAATTTCTAATCATTTAAAGTTAAACTGATGCTTCATTTGCACATTTGCTAAAGTTTAATGACATGGAATGGAAACAAAGACATAACATTTAGATCAGCTATAGATAACTTGAGTCATGGGCCATTTCATTCAAGTAAAATTGTTTCAGGTTGTTTGGGTATATTGGTTAAGATGAACTTTCCTACTCACCAGAAGTATACCAAAAATATTGTGTAAAACTAGCTAGTTGCTTTTCATTCTGCAGCTTCTATTCTAGTGCACACTGGTTTTCACTAGGTACATTTCTCCTAACTAAAAAACTAATGTGAACATTTCTCCTAACTAAAAAACTAATGTGAACACTGTGCCATCAAATCCTCTCGCACACACTCAGCTACCACTGAACCGATGGTCTGCCTATGCAAGAGAGATTAAGGGAAGGTACAAATGAGTGGACAGAGCAGAATGAATTGCTTGTGCCAACTTCATTTTTAAGTGGGATTTAGGGGTACATTTTTGGAAGCAAAGTAAGTATGGAATCATCCCTAAATAAATAAATTAAGTTACATAAGGAGAAATCACAGACTCTCATTCCTCCAAGAAATGCCTCCAAAAAGTTCACAAAACCTAATGTCTGTGAACTACATTAGACAGCTTTCCTTTCGTTCTACAGGATCAACTGCACCCATTCATAGCAGTGCATTTATGCTTCTCCTAATGTGTATAAAAAGCAGCAGAGTAAGTAAAACATCACATTGCTATCATATATGTTGAATATAAGGCAGGAAAACCAAGAACATAAAGTACCTTTTAGAATTGTGTTATACTACGTGACATTTCAATTTAACTGAGCCTGACATTCAATCTTTTAATGGCTTCAGTTCCTTAATTTCTAGCATTAAAAGAAAAGAAAAAGGAAATCAAATATATACCATAAACGTCTGGATCCAAAATTGGGCCACTACCTGCACATGGAGAAGAGAAAAAAAAAAAGAAAAGTTATGTAAATAGATCGCAAATGTTGGAAGAATAAGAACAGGAATTGTTTTAAGAGTTGACTTCATTTGCTATAGCAATCATCAGTAACTACATAAATGCAAATCAACATCAATAATTGCAGTACCTGCTTATCAGATTACATTTACAACCATTTTGCAGCTATCCCAAAGGTTAATATTTTGCTTCATGTGAAAGAGCTACTGCACAGGACACTAGCTCTGGCAAGGGTACACATTATTCCTCAACTGGGCAAAATCATACTTTCCACTATTAATATATATATATATATGGAACAACTGCAACATTAACTATTCCTGTTGAAAAGTCAATGGTAAAATTCTCCCTGACTTCAAGTGGAATCAGACTTCAGTGACTTTTAACAATAACTGATTTTTACTTGATAAAAAATTTGCTCTTATACCACTGTGAGAGCAAACCAGTTTAGCTGTGAGCTGGTAATTTAAGGGCTAGAGGTAGCAATGACCAAAGCAGTACCATTCTATTCCCTCTGTTAAAGGATACTTCCAAGAAGTCAGTTGCACAGCTGATACACAGACAGAACTCTTACCAAAAGAGTCAGATGTCTCAGAAACCAGAATTTTCACAAGTAAATGGATACCTGTCCAGGCAAAACTTTTCTAAATTTTACTACTTCCTATTTGCATCTCTTTCTAATTACTGCACATATGTAAGGCTAAGCACATATGTCAATGTAATGCACAAAACGCCCACTGAATTATTGTACAATATTAGACTATTCATGCTTTGAAACATACTTGTGTTGTATCTTGACATACCTGTTCATTTTGGTTTATAATGTATTCATAGCACAGTTTATGCAGTAGGCTTCTAATAATCTCTTCCATATTATTAGTCTTTCTTTTAGGTTTGAAGTAAAACTATAGATAATTAAAATCTCTAAAGATTAATCCAACTTCAAAAAGTATAATTCCGTTTATACTACTACACAGTAAATCCGTAGCAGTGGTATTATACTGGCATAAAGCCACTGTGAATATGAGCAGAACACCATTGTTCACAGCATGAGAATCTGCTGAAAATACTAGTTGCAACCTATGTGCAGAGTGGCAACAGATAATTACATTTATTTTAAAATGCGTTTGAAGATATTCTAGTATCCAGAGATACAATTCAATAATCCCCATGAGAACCATCATGTCAATCAACAGAAATAAATAACCAGTGAAGAAATGTTGCACTGTCTGTCCTTAAGCAACACTTGGTCAGAGATTTCTGTCCATAAAAGTTCATGGATTCAGTTTTCCCAGTGTAAAACATCCATCTGCTGAAAGACAGTATCTCCAACTCATATTCTGTGATCAGAAATGGAAAAAACCCCAAAACAACAACAACAAAAAAACCTCCCAGGCCTTTATTTCTGGCAACATATTGTTACTGTTCATTTAAATCGGGATAAAGTAAGTAGACTAGTTAACCCTAGATATGAACTAGGAAGTCATCAACTCTATTCAATTCCTTTTATATAACTGAATACTTCCAATAAAGTTTAAAAAAATCAAGATCCTGGACAACTCCCAAATTTCTACTTCGTATAGTTTTTTTCTATTTAGCACATAAGAACACACCTACTTAATCATCAGTTGCAATTATTTTGACATTGAACTTCACTGCAATCATTTTGCATATTTACACACAGTTATTTTCAAGGCAAATACAGAATGGCACCATTGTTTTTGTCCCTTTTAGAAGAGGTTAAGTAAATGACCTATCAAAAGATTTATCCTATTCACTCATCTTTAGAAACTGCATCAACTACACTTGGATTGCTTGCTTCTTTATAAATCTGATGTTTTCAAAAAAATACAGCAGTAAAGGACTCAATTCCAAAAACATAGTTCTGCAAAACACATTATGCCACACAAACAAACACTACTTCTATGGCATATTTAACATATGCTTTTACTATGTCAAAATATATGTGACTTGGATTCCTTCAGCTGAATTTCAGCATAGAGAGTTGGTAGATAAATAAGCTTAATTAAAAATAACTACTATTGGGAAAAACCTCTCCAACTTTCATTAGCCATTTTGGATCAACTATGAGGACAGCCTCCAGAATAAACCATGACCATTTGTGGTTTACTCTTCGTAGCAGTGTCATCTCAAATAATTAAGTAACTTTCAGGAAGAACAGGAAACCAAGAACTTTAGCAGCTTAAAGATAGCTAAAATCCAGCTAATTAAATATAAAATTTATTCTTCTACGTCTTCATATTTAAAATAAATTCTTATTTTACAACATTAACTGTGGAATCATTAAAACCATCAAAATGATGAGAGCATCAAAACTGAGAGCATCTTAGAGAAATCATGTCTTTACCATGTTTGATGCAACTCTGAAAGTAGAGTATTATGCTGTTGATGGTAGAACATGTTTCAGACTTATGTGTTATTTACTTTAGGTAGATATATGGATTATAGGTTTCTAAAATTTTTTTGTTGTTTTTACCTTCTGAGCATTTGCCCAAGTGATGCAATAAGGAGAGAATTAGTTTAAGCTCAGTGAATATACCTCACCCCATTCAGTCATGAAGATATGGAAATGAACGTAATACCAGGGCATGAGCCTTAATCTTTATGCTTCATTGTACAATATATGGGCCAAACGAAGAAACTACACAGTAACAACAGCACTGAAAAAGCCTTTTAAGGATTTGAAGAAGCTTGACAGTGCTTTAAATAGCAATAGTTGAGAACAAAAATTGTAATACAACGCATTTGCTTTTATGCCAGCTTCAGTGGAGGAGACAACAACATTGTGACATTTTCAGCAGCTCAATGCCATGAATTCTTACAGGAAAAAACTGAAAACAATATTGAGGAAGCTAAGTAGATAAGCCATTTCCCCTGCTGTTAATTTTTAAGACTGGTTTGGTGCCATTTACTATATATGAACTAATTTCTAATGCAGTTACATCCTGTCTATACATAGTCCAATTTCCTCTATACTCTTTTTGTAAAGCTTAATCCACTACAGGACTTGGGAAATGCTTAAAGAACACAAAACAGATTAAATAATATACAGACTTATTTCCATATGAATAGAAATATGATGGAACAAATAAATAATGTTTTCTTTCTAATCTAGAAGATAGCTACAGTTCTATTTACTGATCTAAAACACCACAACTGGAAAGTTTTCAGTGTACAGGGGAGAGGCATAAAGAAAAACAGGAGAAGGGATTTGGATCAAAGACAAAAAATTGTAAAATCACCTTAATGTGTGACAGATTAACTGTTATTCTGTTAGAAAATGAAGCCAGGTTCATATTAAATAAGCAGGATGTAAGAGAACTTTCACTGTACACAGAATATCCATGAGGTTAATTGTTTTGCTAAACAGTTTTAAAGCAGTATTCAAGGATGCCAGTAGCTGAAATCATGACATGTTTCTGTAATGAGTCTATTTAAGGAAGAACTCCAGAGAAAAAAAGAAGAGAGGAGCATTAAGGACAGCAGGAGTAAATAAAGCCTGATTTTATCAGCTCTGCATCTTCTCCTTCTAAAGGTGGGAAAGTCTTTTGACCTACTCTCTCTCTCCCTACAGCAAACTAAGTTGACAGAGAAAAAATTAAATATAACCATATTTTTACTGTCTGTAGCCTGAGATATAGGAAGAGAGAATTTAAACATATATTTTTTCCTGCCAGATAACATTAGCAGTGCACACTGCTGTTTAAAAGAAGAAGGCAACTATTTATATCACATGGCTAAAAAGCCAAAGGTACATACAAGCTCATATTTTCAGATATGATTATGTAATTATCTACACAAAACCATGACTTTATTTCTACTCCAGATGTGCAAGGTCCACTCAAACTTTTCTTCCACATACACCAGTTTGCTTACATGTACAGTGACTATTCTTACAGTCACTTCAAGTACGCTTTTGAAGACGTGGGAAAAGATCAAACCACAGTGAACAACAATCACAGTAGTGAATTAGTCTACCTTGATCCTGACCAAACAGCATTTAGGTGGCCTTGGAAGAACCTTTAGAGTAACTCAAGATGCAACCACCTTGAACAGTGATACTCCTAGAGATGTACATGTCCAACCTCCTCCTAGACAAATGGGAATGGGACAACAAAATGCCTGTATGGATCTGAGACCTTGTCCATCCTGCCTCTGGGTTACTGAGGTCCTAAACAACATATTATCATGAATTCACTGGACCGTACAATCAATTTTGCAACAAGGCACTAGATGCTACACAGACATCTTCCATGTCTTGCGATACACTGCCTTGTTCCATTCATATGCTATGCACCAAATTACAGAGTGGATGAATTGGCAGTCAGTGCCTTCCAGGATCAGTACGGAGGCTTGGGAAAACTTCAGAAGAGACAACTTTTATTAGCCTTAACTGGCAGAGAGGATGGTTACTCAAAGGAAAGATTTACAGAGTACTGGCATGGCCTCCCTCGAGAAGCAATAAACAAGAAAATGATCAAGGAAAACATTATTTTACAACTAATATTGAAGACATTCATTCAGAGAAAAAAAAGTCCTACAAAAAGCTTCCTCCAAATAGTTAAACTGGGCAAGAACACTGTCTCAGCAGTATCAATTTGCAAATGCTAACATTAAAAAAATTACACTTACCATCTCCAGGCACTGACATGAAATGAGCATCAACCCGTTTTTCATCCTCTCCATAATCATTCTTTGCCAGTAAGGTATAAGCACCATTATTCAGGTGTGTAGGATTGTCCAGCTGAAGGCAGCCATGGTATTCACTTTGATTGATAACATGTATTTTAGTACAGATGTATTCAGACTCATTCAGTACAGCTCCTTCATAGAACCACTGCAGTGTGGGCTTAGGGTTCCCTTTCACAGTGAATGGAATACACCAGTGGTGGTCCGGGGTTGGAGATTCAATAAACGTGATATTTGGTGCAACTATATTGGAAAAAAAAGAATGAAGAACATCAGAATATTCTGAACATGTCCTTCTTCACTTCTCTTCCTCCCTCCAAAGTTATCAGGGAAGTATATTTCATTTACCAGTATAAATATATGTTACTAGTAGGAATGGTATGTATTTGAAGGATGCCCACACAAGAATGCACCTGTTCTGCCTAGGGTACTATGCTTACAACTGAAATGAAGCTACTCTTTAAAGAAACAAAGCAAACTAGTTTCAGACAAAGATTGAATACGTGTTAAATCACTTAAAGCCTGCAAGGTGTGGGAAGTTCAGTTACCAGATCGCTGAGAAAATCTCTCTCTTGGGAGGGAGACATTTTAGCTTTATTCTGCTGAAAAAATGGTGCAGAGGAGTGCTGAAGGAAAACAACAGTATTGAAAATATTTAAAAGCTGGCCAAAAGCAAGTAGTACCGGAAATATACTCAGCTAGGAATCCAAACTTACAGACTATTTTCTTCATAGAATCAAAGCCAGAACAGATTACTTAATCCCTGGATTCTTTTGTCAGGGAAAGATGATTTTCTACTATACATACTCACATCCTTGTTCAAATCTGCTAAATGTCTCAAGTTTACAGACTACTTCTGTTTCTCTCAAGAGATTATTCCAACAGCTTGCCCATTATTTCACTATTGGGAAATTTTCCTCTATATTTATTCTTAACTACACCCAATTTCATTTAGTTGTACTCCCTTTTATCACTCGCAACAGTGACAAGCTCAGAATCTCATTACACTGTTCAAACATTTCTAGTTTATGTTCCTTCCCATAGTTATTACATATCAATATCAACTTACAAACCTACATGTACAGTGATTTCTCTAGTTTACTCTGTCAGGAGCACATGCCGAGCCAAGTTTGCCATCTACAAAGTGTTCCGTTCCCATCTTCAATCAAACAGAGGGTTGCAACTTGTGAAAACATGCTGTCTCATTCATGTAAAATGAATTTAGCCTGAAGCCTAGATCAAAGAAGCCAGTGCCTCTACACTGAATGTCCCTTTCCCCTTCCTTGGCCTTGACAAATAGATGTACTATTCAAAGCTGTGACAAATAAATTTATATGGGGTCGTACAAATGTTGAGAGTGTATTATTTTCCAAACAAAGCAGCTGTTGTTTTAGATAGTGAGAACTTAAACATTTGTAGTCTCATAGATATCCATAAGCGTTTTGATGCATTCACACTTCTCAATTCCTGAGACAGTGTGTATGGACATGCACACCATTACAAATCTACTGACAGTGCATTCAGTATTTGGGGTTTAAGACCTTTCCTTACAGATTGTTCTAAGTGGAAGAGGAAGGAGATACAAACATATTTTTTGCTGAGTACAGAGCTGAAAAGGATAAATGCAGCAACTGCTGGTTGGGCTACTCCTTAGCATTAACTGCAGTAAATAGTTCACATACCTTAAGGGTTTTTGTTTCAACTACCTGAGCATCCAAAAAATATTTAAACCCAAAACAGTTCCGCCAATGTAGTCTGGCCTCGGGATCTATATGGAGACCTGCATACGTACAGAATACCGTGAGCTCGGCAGAGGCTTGGTCCTCTCCCACAATGTTCTCTGCTACGCAGGAAATCCACAGTCCACTATCCATGGATGAAACATTCTTTATGGTTAGTGAGGCAGGGTTCTTATTTGTGTCACTCTACAAATGATCAGAAAAACATGTATGTGTCAACCACAGCATTAAGAACAAAGGAAAGGGAGGGCATTACTAGCAATAGTTGAATGGTATTTTTCATTTTCTGTTCTTTTTAACTGTAACAGTCATCAATGAAACAAAGCCTTACCTTAGCATCTTATTCACACAGACCCAAATCACCTACAGAACCAACTGTAACAGTCAGTGGCAGTGGATTCAAAGCCTCAAAAGTCCTGCTACAAACACTGCACTCAACCATGTTTCTGTCCTGTCACTTTCAGTTTCGCCCTTTTTTTTTTAACACTTGATCATTTTTGCACAAATCTTTTTCTCTCTACCCATGCCCTTGCTCATCCCTCTCTCCTACTTCTAACCGATTTCTGTGGTCTGTCTCTGCCTGTTCTCTTTGAACTTCTTCTTGTTGCCTATATTCTGTTCAATCCTTGCTTTACTTATCCTCTTCTCTCTTTCCTTTAAAATTCTGCATGACATCTCTTCCACTGCTGCTTCTGAGCCCTACTGTACCTTGACAATGACGTGTCTTCTACCTCCTCCTTAAGCAAATTTCTCTTGGAAGCTTTCTCTTCTCAAGAAACCTTCCACAAGAAACTTAATACCTTCTACTACCTACGTTATTGTCCAAGTATTTTTTATGTGTTTGAGCACAGGCTAATAAAGGTAAGAATGATAATTCTTATAAAACTTGATTCTTATGATTCCTAGAAAGCTCAGTGTCTATCTACAGCCTTAAATGACATATTGTATACACAGCTATGCCATACTGATTAAGGAAATATGGATGAATTACACACACACACACACAGAGAAAGCAAGCTAATGATTCTGATGTTCTTAAATCAGGCCTTCATAGGATCTCCAAATCATTATTTCCATATTTGAATTTTTCACAAAGAGCAAGACTATTTTGTTAAACAGGATAGGAACCAAACACATTCAGAAAATAAGTGATAATTAGGATAATTTTTAAAAACTCCTTTTAAGGTAATTTTCTTAGTGAACACACACACATCAGCACTGCACAGAATACAAACAAGTAACACACTGAATCTGTAAAATCACAGCAACCTTTAAGTGACAGTCAATAGGAATTTGTGGGAATACTTGTGCATATCATCCTGTGCAACCAGAATTTTGAAACTCAAGATGACAGCACAACTCCACCTGAGTTAAACGTCCCTTTAATTTCAGTGTTACAGTGGGGGAGGTGGGTGGAAAAGCAAACATCCCATCACACACTTCTCTATGTACAATTCTCAGAGATGAGTAGAGCCCAAAGCTGGACTGAAAGTAGAGGGGTTCAACCACAGGCTCAGGGTTGAAATCTAAAGTAAGAAAAATCTAAGCAACATCAGTCAGACTATATATCAGCACAGAAACTCAGAACATACAGCTTTGCAGAACTAAAGTCTGGTTTTAACTTTTGCTAATGTCTCTTTTAAAACAGGAAAGAGAAAGAAAACAGACAAAAGCAGAATATGAGGTGAAGGAAAGGAGGGCAGATTTGCAAGTGAGAGAAAAGAAACCAAAAGCGACACTCACATAAAAGGACAGTTGTGAATGGCAAACGAGGTTTAAAAGGCATGTGTTCTCTTGCTACTGAAAAGATTACTGTGCTCCATGGCTAAGGCTGTAGCTAGCCTGTATTATGAGCCCCTCTAAAATACCATGATGGAAGTTACACCAGGACAAAATACTTCTGGAAAGCTTGAAGCAGACTGATCATGGCATTTCAGAGATAGGAGGGTTAAAAAATGAGGTGACCTCACTTTTTGAACAGCATCCCACATTTGTTTTGGCTTCTCATTTAAAAAAAAAAAAAAAAAAAAAAAGAGAGAGAGAGAGAGAAAGAGAACAGCTTGGCATAGATTCCCCAAACTGCTTTAATTTCTTGTTCTTGATGACAACTGGTGACTTTGGGGAACTTTAGAGATCACAGAAAATTACTTTAAAAAAACAACTAGAACTCTGCAGAGCCCTTACTTATGAGCTGAAATGAAGGACAGGCTAGTGAAATTCTATACAAGCCTGATATAATGATCTTATGAAAGAAAGTACAAAAACTATGAGACCCAAGAGATCCTGTCCCTTCCACACTTCAGGAAGAGTTTTGGAAGTACACATCCCACACCTCGTACAGACCAAGAAGCTTTAGGCAGTTGTGCATCATCATGAATGCAGGAAAAACAATGCCTCAAAATTTTAATAAACAAAGGCTCTCTTCTACTGTGTAAATAATGGCAATTTATGAAGTCAGTAGCTGCATATTGAAGGTCTGCTTGTATACCTCATCTTTGTCAATACTTCCATCAGAAAGAACTTAATCATGCCATCTCCAACGTACACACAGTCTCCAGTAGGGACACAATACATAAAGATCCCAGAAAACAACCTTCACCCCTCCTAGATGATTTCACTGAGGAAACATCTTCATAGTTCATTTAAAAAAATAAAAAGAACCTACCACTCTTTTTATTAAAATTTTAACTTCGATTTCATTTTGTAGCAATGTGTGGAAGGAAAATTAAACATGTCACAAAATATTTACAACCAAATTCCAACACAGCAAACTTCTGACATGAAAATATAATACAATTACAAACACAAAGCTTTTTTCACAATTAGGATAGATTGGATTTATTTTCTGTTAGCAGGTATCAGTGACAATAAGAAAGTCCTTGTGTTTCCGTATCCCCATTCACATTACTTTCAAAAATTTACATTATTGTCATTTACAAGTGAACATCAAAAAAACAGAGTGAAAATCAGGGTCTTGAGAAATAAATGTCTGCCATTCTCCAAAAGCACTGCCATAGTCACCCTTGATTGAAGTAAACATAAAAAAAAATAAACATAATCCCAACACTAACTTTTTCTTTCATCTTTTTAATAAAAATTAACTAAAGCTGGACATGAAACTTCATTCCATCATTCAGCAGGTATTACCTGTCTCTGAATTGTCACATATTTGAATATAAAACTTACCTCATGGTTTGAAACAAGATTAGTTACCACCCAGGACACATTTGGAGGTGGTCCTCCAGTAGTATCACAGTACAACGTGATGCTCTTTCCTTCCACCACGGTGATGTTATAATTGCTTAAGTTTGCTGAGGGCAAGTCTATGATAGAAACAACAACAAAAAAAATACACATGTATTTGTATTTGACAAAAGAGACACCATGCAACTCTAATCACCACTACATCAAATATTTACTGTAGTCTCTACTATTCAGTCAAGCAGTACAAACAGTATCTTTGGAAATATATAACTACAATCTTTAGCTCCTATGTATTTTCTACACCTCCTCTGCTTCATATCCTAAGAAAACATTACTGCATATGGAAAAGCATTACGCTAGTTAATTGTATAGGGAAATATATCAGGTGTGTAAACAGAAGTTATCTTCAGCTTTTAACTTTAAAATGGACAAAACCCTTACTTTACTCTTCAAAAGTGGAAATTTTATCTGTCTCTTTTTAACAGATGCAAAGCAACCTCTATTTCCACTAACTGACATTGTGGTATTCCAGCTGTTCTCCACAACGCTAACAAGAAAATCCCGTTAGCTCCCAGTATCACACAGGAGACTGCAGCCCTCCTCTCATACAGTGACACAGATCACAGAGTGCAGGGTAAAACCCTGACCTTAAGTACAAAGTGAGGGAAACAGAGCTCTGAACACATCAAACTAGAGGAGGGAAAGGACAGAAGAGAGGGTTAGCAATTGCACAGAGCTCTATCCAAGGCAACTCAGCTGACTTTTTTAATGCCCTCAGGAAAACAGAAAAGTAATGAGACGGTACTATTCACCAGGAAACAAGACCAGATTTTGCAACACTAAGGACTCCTCCTTCATCTTACAGAGCTATAAATCACTGTATCTAATTCTTTAGCACCCAAAGGAATGGGAGCTTCCCAAAGAGTAAATATGTGCTGAATGCTTAGAAAAACACAGGGAATTACAGACTGACCTTCTTCAAAAAATAATAACAGCAATATCAGTAAATTGCAGGCACACAGGAACTCACATTTCATATTTATTTACATAGCAAATAATTATGTACCATTTTAGAAATATCACCTTTCTTAAAGATACTATACCATCATTTGAAGCTGCTACACTCTGTAAAAAGCCTCGGTCTCCTTTACAAGGTATTTCTCAGCAACAGTTCCAGGCAAGTTTTACTTGCAACTTATCATCTCAAATAATCAAGCTTATCTGCCATGCTGGATATGTATGCATCATCTTGCAATGACTTTTCTTTTTCTGAAACAACAGTACTTTTTGTTTTTTGGAGGTTTTTTTAGCTGAGAATACTTGGTGGTACAGAAGTTTGGCAGAGACTTTTTTCCTTATATAAAATATTCAAAACAAATAATTAGCTACCAAATCAGCATGAACACATTCATATGTTTGCTGGAGGTTCAATAGAAGCTATATGTATTGGAAGTCTGCCTTTAATTAGTTCAATTAAAAAAAAATAAATTAGAGGAAGCAATACAGAAAAGAAGGCAGTGCTTTCTTGCCTAATAAGATTTGAAGATCAGTACAAGTATACACTAACTGCTCAAGCAATTCTCCCAGTGCTTTAAGTAGCGCTGTAATATGATTCCCATTATAGGCATCATGGATTTCTTCTATTATGTTCACTTTATAAATCATATGTTGAAGTTTATTGAGACAGAGCTGTAGAGTTTGTATGCCTTGATGCAGTAATCTGTTAGCAGAGGTAGCCATCTGCTCTAGCCTGCTGTGAATTCAAATCTCACCAGTGTCTGTCAACTAGGTGAGCAGGAAATAAAACTAATTTTAGGGAACATTTGGATATTAATTATGCTATTTAGGGAACATGGAGAGAAGTACTGAGATAATTTGCTTCATAAAGTTACACCATCACACCACATCTGAAAACCATTACAATTACTCCTGACAGACCTGAATATCCAAAGAGATTAAAGGTCCCCACTCTTCCTGGTCCTAGCACTTGGGACAAGGTCTCCATGGTAGATTAGCATTTCACTGTGCAAACCTGCACAGTTTCTACTAACACACCACTTCAGGTAAAAACAACAATAAAATAAAAACAACTTTGGTCCCTTAGAGCTCTCCTTTGATAGCTTTTAAACTCTGAGACAATTTCTTCCTGCAATGTGGTTATGTACAGGATAGGTGACTGAAGTTTAATTTCTCTGGTACTGGCTCTGTTTTTCAACCAGAATTAAATCTAGTTCTATTTATTTGCAAAAGTCTACATATGTCATGTTGGTGTTAAGTCTCTGATGGAAACAGCTACATCATGCCTGTATCCTGCCAGAAGGTTATAAAATATTAGTGCTTATTATTCTATAGGTTCCTAAAGTTACACTAAAAACCAGTTGCAAGACCTCTGCCTCAAAACAAGTACAAATGTAAAGGAATAGAATGGAATAAAATAGAATTAGAAATAGAAATCACGTTGTTGTATGTGTTTTCTTTTACTCTCTTTCCCAGTCATGAGATGGGTGGAAAACCTAAGAAATGCCTTGGGATTAATTTTTTTCTGGTTACATGTCTTGAGATAATGAACTTAACCCGCAAGGTCATTTTGCTTTTATTTCCAGTGACCTCCAAACTGTTCCACAGCAGAACACACACTAGTTGAGATGTGGCTCTATTTCAGAAAAGCAGACAGTAGCTTAAGGCCTCATATCCAGATATGTGATGCACTGCACTTACCAACAAAGCAATGAGACTAAGCAGCAAAACCTGTACTGAAAAATAACTGTATATAAAAAACCCCACACTGGACCTTAACATACACGCACCCTCAGTTTGTATGGTCAGTGTACTGTGAAACCATTTATATGGGTTGATAGCATTTTGACACTTACAAAAGATATCCATCCATGCTGCCTTCACTTCTGACTTAATTTGGTTAAATACAGTTGTTTCGATGGCTATTGCTTCTGTTGATATGGATGCACATTTTAAAGGACTTTGCAAACAGCAATTGATACAAGCAACCAGATAACACATTCAAACACTATTGTATACTGCCAGCATAGTAAGTTCAGACTGTATCGTAAGAACCCACAAAAGGTAGACTTGACATTATCTTTCTACAAGTTTCATCATGATACCTGTCAGACAGAGACTACTCTGTGCCCTGAAGCTCAAAACACAATCTCTGTTTCAAACTTTTATAGCGATACTTTCTATAACTCTGGATATCAGCAATGACCCATTTAGTATCCAATTTCTTTTTCAAGTTTGCTGTATTTCTGGCCTTAACAACCTTCTGTAGCAATGAGTTTTACAGGTGTAATGTTCAGGCTGTATACAAGAGCTACACCCTTTACCAGTTCTGAAATTTCTCAGTGACTTTCAAGTTTATTGAGTACTCTTCTGTTCTGGTGGAACAGAGTAAAGAGACTTTCTGAATGATCTTCTTAAGATCACTTTGTTTTATTTTGCTTCTCAAATATTTTTCTTCTCGATAATCTATCCAAAGCTTTTCAACCTCTGCAAAAATGGGAGGACGGAACCTGTTACTGAGATCTTTAAACTATAATATAGAGAGTAATCCAGATCGACAGATGAATGTGTACACTAAAATCCATGTGTTTCCTTATGCATTGGTATGTAACAGCTATGTTCTTCACCACATACAGAATATCTTTTCTCCTATTCAACTTGATTACACTTTATTCCCAGGAATAGGCACCTCGGGATTAAAATAAGCACTTTCCTCACCCAAGTACAACTAGACACAACAGAGTCAAGCAGAAGGAACTCATTTGTGTCAGCTGAGTTGCTCCAAATATCATCTCATACTTCAGAAGGAACAAACTCCCCTTTACGTAGGGAAGAGAGGTGTTTACCTTCAGACACCATCATTAGTACAAAAGGATGACCTGAGGCCATCAGACAGTGGAACTGCCAAGCATCACTAGGAATTACTCACATTTTTCCTGTGCACAGCTAGGACTTCAGTGACCACAAAACCAAACACCTTGGATGCAATTTTCAAAAGTTACTACTACATCAGGCTACACAACTGTCAATGGAAATTCATAAAATGAATGTGCCTAAATTCCTAGAGGACTTTCAAAGGCTTCATGCTGCTACTCACTACTTTCTACAGAAAGCTTAAACTGGCCTTATTAGAGCCAGACCATCACTATATGTCAAAGAAAGGATATGACCTAATGAAGAAATAACTGAATATTAGTAAAAGCTGTTGTCTGTAACTCAGCTCTTAGCAGCAAGAACAGTTTAGCCAGTATACTAAAGCTACTTTTAGAAGGTGATGGTCTTAGGCCAGAATAAGCAGATCCACCATTATGTCAAAGATACTGTTTCTCTATCTTCAGTTACAAAAATTTTTACAAAATTAGTACCAGATTGATATTTTTCTGCTTCAACTCTCATCTGTTCAGTTCTGGGATTTGTTCAGTTGCTTAAAAACCTTCAACAATTCTCTCAATATGGTCAATTAGCCTCACTAATACCTAAGAAATTACATGATGAACAAATTAGCACCCATAAATTCAGTATTGCATTCATTTATGATATCCTTTGCACACTAAGTCCCTGATTCTCATCAGTCTGCCAACAAACTCCCAGGAGTCTAGACATGACACAGTGCCACTAAATGGTTTTCAATGTGGCCCACGACATCTCTCTTTTGTTTGGCATGTTTTTGGAGGTCAATTCATGATAAGAACAGGTAGTTACCACAAAAAAATGACAATTTTTTTCTCAAAACTAGCCAACTGCATCTGATTTTTAATAAGGTCATTTTAATCCTTATCTGAAACCCTTAATCATCTTTTTAATAAATATTATCAGACACAGAATGATTAAATTAATATTGAGGCAGCAACCATCTATCAAACTGAACCATATAAAGGCAGACCACCAGAATCACTGAGCTATAAAATATCCACCACAATTCTTAAGGTACTGTGGCTCAAATCCAGTCTACTTGCCTCACAGAGTTTCAATACAGTCTAAGGTTCTTGGCTCCCCTGGTTTTGCTTTTTCTCTCTAGGAAGAAAACATACAACTGATCACATCACTACCATAGAGCTTCATAACACCCACTACTTGTACTGTCTGGAGCCTGAAAAGAAAA